CGTATGTATAATCTGATTTTCTCGCAATATCATTGTTGAAATAAAAACAAATCTAATTTACTTTTAAAACCACTTTCTATCACCATTCGCAATTAATTATACAGCTCAAATAATATTCATTTATGAAAATTATTATTTTTATGAGTAAAACCTTGGGTACCTAGCATTGCCATTAAAGCACAGTTAATTAAAATTCTATAATGTTAAAAAAAGTTTGTTTGTTTTTCTTTATTTGTTTTACTTCACACCAAAGATAATATTTACATAAGAAAATATAATTTATTAAAAAAACTGTTTGTGATTTTATTAAATTTTACATTGAACTATTATGCAATGATTACTTCATACTCATTGTCATAAATATATATCTAATTGTCATATCATGTCTCCAGCAAAACAACTATGAAACAAGCTTATTTGTGAATAGCGAAAACAAAATAAAAGAAGATACGATCAGGCTTGTTTTTTTATTAATAACTGAATTACCAGATCAGATTACTTCCCATTTAGATGGAGGAATTCAATTTATTTCAAATGTGGAAAGATTGTCATCATTGTATTATTTCTAAAATTTTCCAGATTGACAGCAAATTATTAATATTTTGTTGCTTTACAAATCTCCCAAACAAGATATCATTGTGCAAATTCTCTGGCATATCTGTATGTTGAGTGTAAAAGATGATTTATCATATTTTTTTAATACAGCCTTCTCTCAAGGCCGTTACGATTATGACACAAATTCCCATTCTAAACTTCGCCAAGCGTTCTTCACATAAAATAAAATAAAAAAGAATTCCTAGTTCTTAGAACCTTAGGACCTTTTGTGTTCTACCTTCAACCCAAGTCTACTCAAAATGTTCATTAAAATGTGTATTCTACTTTCAACAATATAATGCTATTGTGATATTATTATAGTAAGTACAATGAATATCAGTTCTGTGTATAAATTGCATTTGAAGTTTTTTTGTTTTTTTTAATACTATTAAATTTTAAAGATAATGGAGTCAAAATTCTTACAATTTATTGCAAGTATTAACTATCATGACAATCTTTGAAATGTGGTGTCTTAGATTACTCTAAAATGATCCTTATCTTTTGGGATGTAGTCCAAAAAATATAATTCAATACTAATTTTGTGTCAGAGTTGGCTGCATTTAACCTATATATTAAATTAAGTGCATATTTTTCTCATAACTTGTTAAACAAGTATATTACTATTCAACAATAATGCAGGATGAAACAAAAATGTTCACAAACATTCTTTAATTTTCTTTTCAATTACTTTTTAAAATGTATTTCCTCAAGCCCGGGGATTCAGTTTAAAGGAATTTGTTGGTACAAAATCATGATATACGTCCAGTACAGGCAGACATATGGATTCATTTCAGTGATCTGTTTCCCTCTTTAATTAATTTTACATTGAATAATTTCCCATTCCTAGTAAAACTAATGGTATATTTATTCATATTACCTCTAATTACAAAATTAACTTTTACCATAAATGAAACAAGATATTTTAGCATCAAAGAATACACACTGATTATTATAGGTAGGTACCTAACTGGGCTATTGCTTTTTTGTCTACAGGTATTCAATAAAAGAATAATAAAATAAATTTTACATCATTCTTTGGACATATCAGAAATTCCTTTTTCTGTTATGTTGTGCATCCATTACCACTGCAGCCAATGCACTAGCACTATTCACGTCAGCAACTCTCAGCCACAACATTTGGAACAACCCAGGGGTGATTGCTCTAGCACAAAGAGGCCACAACGTAACAGTTCTAACAGAAGCTCAGAAACATTCAGTACCAAATCTTACAGATATAGTAATTACAGGACTGTACGAAGCAGTTTGCAAGTGATTATAATTATCAAGCTATGTTTGACCTATCTGAATTTGACTGGATAAAGGAAGCTTTTAATTTTTTCAGGGAAGGATTTAAAATAACTTTGAAATCTGAGGCTTTCAAGCAATTAATGAACTACCGTTCAGATTTTGTGTTTGTCTTGGTTATTATAGAAGGATTTGGAAATGAGTACTTGTTCGGATTACTTCCTAAACTTGGAAATCCATGCACAGTAGGTATAAATGGATTTAAAATTCTTAGTTGGATATTTTAGATGACTGGCACTCCCAACCTGCCTTCCCACATACACCACCATGCTTTAGGTCTTACAGATCACATGACTTTCACAGAAAGAGTCAAGAACTATACTTTTTTACACATATTATCATCATAATAACTATTTAAAAACTGGGGACAAGGAAGCTGTTGATTATTTTGGGCCTCAGACACAACCTGCCTATAAAAATTTACAAAGCACTAATTTTGTCATGGCAAATTTCCACCAGCGGCATTTCTTCTAGCAGCATTTAATTGTCCATGGGCAACCACACTAAGTTTAATACCTGCAGCAGGAATTCAGATAAAAGATCCACAGCCTTTACCAAAAGTGAGTATGATTTCTTTAATTAAATTAATGATTTGAGTGACATTGAATGTGGTCTATTGTTTTATTTACAGCAGCAATTTCAACATCATATTGAAATTAAACTGGCACGCATTGGCTAGTGAGATAAAAATATTATAAAGTAATACAATGCTCTGAAATTATGGTGTGTGGTTAGGCTGAGCAGCCCATACAAAGGGGCAAACCTCACAAATGTTGATTGGCACATTGAAAATATTTATCAGAATTTTTTTAGTATAAATCAATGTGTGTGATAATTTAATAGTAAGTAAAATAGATAATGTAAGATTAAGTATTATTTCAAAATTTGACACATAACAAGAAACAAGTACAATTTCCATGCTATTTTCACCAATGCATGTGCCCACTTGAATATATATTAACATCCTAAACACCATCTTAATGCAGAAACTGTGTGTAAACATAATATCCTTCATGCTCTATTTTATTTTACTTAACATCAAAAACAGTTAAAATCTGAGTGACGTACTATGGGGAGAAGTGCAATCTGTATAGTTTCTTCAGATCTCAGATTCCAACCACAACTCAAATGAGTTCATGTTGAATTATGAATACAGGTGGAAATGAGCTTTTTTGGCAAAAATTGGTATGAAAATATTCACTCCTGTATAATAAAATATATTTGCAAAGGGAAATCAGGTGTAGATTTTGGCTCTTACCCCTTATCATGCCCTTTGTGCTGGAATTGACTTATTACCATGCGGAAATCGTTTAATCTAATACTATAAGCTATTAAGTACATACCAACTGTTAATAACCGCTACCATTATTACAAGAAAATACATGCTGTTGAAACACTAGTTTTTCTACAAGTACCTCGAGAGAGAAGAGATTTCATGAGAAATACAGAATCATCATTCAGCAGAGTGTTATGAACCAAAACCAAAAAAATTGTACACATTGGTGAAAACCTTATTAAAATCTAATTACTATTCTACTTACTAGTTCTAGTGATTTTAACAGGCAACAAAAACAGACGACATTCGTTTTGTATTAGAAAACTTTACACACTTTTTCTTAGATTGGCTATCGCACCGCAGGACGTAAGATGTATATTGGCTTGGAGAACTCATAGGTAGAACACAGATTTCCGATTGGAAATTTTCTCGATAAATGAAAGTATCCATATCAGTCAAATTCTGCCTCTTGCCTCTCTAGTTGATGAGGGATGAGGGGAGGGGAGGATGCCATTTCTGAACCCTATAGATGGCAAGGATGGGGAAGAAAGGTACGCGTGCTACTCGGGGCCCATTACTAGATGCATCTTAGGTCATCATCATGCCGACTGTTCCTCTTGCATCTCTACTCGATGAGTACGGAAAAACAAGAATAGGACTGTTCCTAAATGTGGGAAAGGAAGGATCGCGAGCGCATTCTAGCGGCCGGTAGTTACGATTCTGATTTAGATTTATTTCGTCCAAAAATCAGTAAAAACTGTGAGTGTCGTATGGGGAAGAAGATTACATGCGCACGTTTTCTTGAGTTCCAGAATCCCTTCTCGTCATTTTAACTATAAATAGTTGAAAGATGAGTTAAAGTTTAACATCAATAAACAAAAATAAATTTTGAAAATCGCAAGACTAGCAATATTTGAAAAAATAGACATTCTCCTGCATCATCAACTTGAAATTAATAATGGAAAACAATGGAAACGATTGATGATTGATTAATTGGTTTGCGGACGCGTCACATGTTACGATATTCTGTCCCGTATGTGTAGTTCATATTATAACCCGGAAGGTGGAGGTATTCCTCCCATGCTGTAAAATGAGTTCCACCGTCGATCTGCACATCGGCTTGCAAGGTTTCCTCATCGATGTACCCACAGGACACTGACACTTTGTCTATGTATGTAGTTCCTCCGCCTGCCGGAAAAGCTCATGAAAGCTCCCGACTGGTCTCCAAGCACGTGACAGTGTGCATGTAAGTGTGTATCAGAAAGGGGTGAGGTTATGACAAGAAAGAGGAAGGAAAGATCGCGCGCGAACCTTGGCCCTTTGTTAGGGTACTGCTCCAGCATTCACCTGGAATTTATCGGAGAAACCGCTGGAAAACTACCGATCTGACCAGCAGCCCGCAAGAATTCTTCTCCAGACAGCGGTTGAATTCGACTTACTACACTACACTAGCTAGTGTCGAATATCCTGCCACCGTCGGGACTCGAACCGAAGAACCTCGCGATCAGAGTCACTGCAGTGACACATAATTGATGTCCATGCCATCTAGGCTCAAGGATCGTAATGAAAACGTGCCTTTGGTATGTGATGTGACAATTGTTTTGAGTAAATTGAGTAAAATTAAAAAATAACCAAGAAACAAAACATTTGATCCGCAGCCATCTGTCATCTGCGTTTGGCCACCTTGGACATTTGTTCTCAAGCCGTCACTGGTAGAATGAGGTCGGTGTTTTTTGCCACCGTCACCCTTCCATGCAGCAGAATTTCACTTTCAGTCATTCACCGGAGGTCCTCAGGATTGCACGCGCGAGAGAAAGTTCAGTGCGCTCGGGTTGCTACAAAGCTTTGGAGCTTCTCTCCCCCTAGGAAAGTGTTATATCTTGGAGCTTTGACGTGTACGTTTTATCCTTTGTATACGAGGGTAAGTCAGTAAATAACAGGACTTGCGTTCCAATCGTCTATAGATTGACTGAACAGCTTTTGTGCGCCTGTTATCTTTAATGATTGATTATTTCGTGTTTCCGGGCGTATCAACTGCAAACATCATTTGTCCCTAAGTTGTAGTGCATGCTTATACGAGGGGAGGTGACAGTGTTATTACCTCGTTAGATGGTAAAGTCCTGCTCCGATCTATATGGCATAATATTCTGGGGAAATACATCTTATAGCTCCCAGACTTTTAGTTCACTCGTACGAATAATAAGCAAATCCCACCCACATGATTCTTGTAACCCTCTCTTTATTAAGCTAGATATTTTACCATTACCTTGTCTCTTCATGTATGAATCAATGTTGTTTTGTGTGTGTGTGTGTCAAAAATGGACTTACTTAAGGACGGGAATATATTTTCAGCAAACGCAGTTCTACATAACTACAACACTCGACGAAGTAATTATATTCTTCAGGTGACATTATCAACAGCTCAGTACAAAAAAATTAACGTACACTACATGTACATTATTTTACAACACCTTGTCAAATGACATTAAACTATTAAATTGAATACAAAAGTTTAAGTCCCAAATAAAATATTTTCTGCTGCACAATTGTTTCTATACAATTAAAGACTATATCGAGCACCCAAAAGGAAAGTAATATTAATGTTAACAATGACATTTAAAGTATTATTTACTATTTGGATTGAATAATTCTAAAGAACCCCTAACAAGTATTGTACTTCAGCTTCTGGATCAATGACCCCCATCTCGATCAGGTTTTCGTCCAGTTTTCCTGATCCTTGAACAAATGCTGAGATGGCCCCTTGTTTTGCTTCTGGACATAAAAGTAACTTCAAATTAACTTCTCTCCATAGCACGTCACACTCAGTTTTTAACTGTTTTTGACGCAAATAAATAAATACATGTCGGCTTGCGGAGGGTTTCCCCAACAGGCATGTCCCATCAGCCAGACACCGACCCAGTCGGGATAAGTTCTAAGCGCCTCTAGCAAAATAAATGTTTGTACTAAGAATTAACACTTTATCAACATTATGAAACGTTAATTTTATAGTTCTTTTATAAAAGAGTAAAGGTCACTTAAATTTTGTTACAAGTAAAATTTATCAAACTAGTACACAATTTCCAGGCTAAGCTCCATCTATCTTGCCTATCCCCAAGGAGCCGACAATGATCAGAAATCGAAACAAAGATGGAAGAACCATGACAGTAATTCCCAAAACGTGTATTTCGCTAAGACAATTTAAACAATCCTCTCTCCTGTTTAATATTTGTCCAGATGTCTCAGAATAAATGCTGCAAACTTCTAGAGTGTTCAGAGGAATCAAATAAGATTTTTTTTCATTGAACTTGTGGCGGGAAATTTCATTCAATAGAAGCATACCAATGTGTGTGAGAGGAGGGCAAGGGGCGAAGATGGATTTTCTGTTAGTTTATTTTTTTCCCACGTTTTGTTTAGGCAAGGAGCAACAGTTTCAACGTTTAGGGATTTTATTATTCGAAGGTTTCTTTACTCTAAGTAAAATGTTCGTATTTCAAGACTTATTGGATGCTTACAAAAAAAACTGGAAAGTCACGCGTTCTCTTAAATATATAATTAATATTTAAATAATGTTAATACAATACATTTTAAAATATTATAATAGGTTATATTTTAATAATTATAATAAAGAAGTAATTAAATACATTGCCGTCTGTGAACTCATAGAAAGCGCATATTTAAAAAGTTTTTGGCTTTTCTAAATCTCAAAATTTGAAAATATTTTAACACTAACTGGCGGAAAATGATTTTTATTTGTTGCAACGTACTTGCACTACTTCTTAACATGTTAACTGTCGTGTGAGTTATATATAACTCATGAGGTGTCTTTGCCCTGGCGCCGTGTGAAGTAAATTCCACCCGCACAGCCTTTCCTTTGGAGCCACGAGGTGCATTGGTAACTCCCAGAAGCATGCTCTAGCATAGAGGTTATTGTGAATATGGTTCTAAGGACAAATCCTTGTTGCTGACCTTCGAAAAACTGTAGGTATCAAGGGCATTAAAAACATTCATACAAAAATGTATGAAAACCATCATTGGTTTGAACAAATCCTTTTTACGGCCAGAAAGTTAATAAGTAATAAGAATGAAAGACTTCGGTGCGGACCAACCGCCATGTGCTTTACACCAGCCTCTTCCTCTGTCTCATTCACAGGCAAACAGCAGCTAAGCCCGGTTTTAGATGAAGATTCCAACCACCGTTTACGAAATACATATACCTTACACCGTGATTACAGCCGACGCAAGTCAAGAACACACCCTGACTAGGACCGCACAATGATTTAGAGATCTCCGCAAAATCGACATCTAGTAATTAGGAATCCCAAAACGTGCTAGTGTGTTTCATTATTTCAGTTAGAATGTCTCCGTCTATTGAAGAGATAAAATTCGCAATATAACATTTGAGATTAGAAACATCTCTTGAAATTGAACAATGTTTGGAACAATGGACTCTAATAGGTTAAACTGAATTGAAGGTTTTGCGTGCCGTTGAAACCCGCAACACATTGCCGCACACTTCTGTCGTGCGTAAGACAAAGACGATGCGTTTTAGAGTATTGAAACCAGATTTATGTGTCTCGTAGGGATTTGTTGTCATCAAGGACCCACAAAACATGGATTCTGGTTCCCTCGCATGTTATAGGATTTGTTTCTGTATTTAGAAACAGGATTTATCCATTTTTCCGTTACCAGGGACAGGCAATAAAGAGTTTTTCTGCCGAAAATTCGCCGGTTTTCGGCGCAAGATTTATTTAACTTTCTCTTGTTACGAAGTACCTTCATAAGGGCGAGCAAGTACAAATCAATTATTGTGTTGTGATCCTGCTCAAAATACTTCATTTGGAACTTTATATGATCATTTAGCAAATTAATATAGGTGTAAAAATTTCAGTACCCTTTTCATGCACAAATGTCCGAAATTATTGCACGGGTTCAGCTAATTCTCCCTCCCGCTGCCTTTGGTGTTCTCCACGTACCTTGAATGGCTGCCATGGTCATAAGTCATGAAAGTGTAGTGCATTCTTTACGATGATTGAATGATTACTACAGTACCGGTAGCGTATAAGCGACTCTGACAGTTCAGTGCGCTGTTACTACGCGCATGGTACCTCCTACTGCATCACAGATAAATTAAATCTAAAAACATTAACAATTACTGACAGGTTTTGACACATCTTGAGATAATGTTCATAACGTCCGCCACAGCCGAACCTCATCGCCTCCGCGACTTCGTGTGTCAGCTGCAACGCTGAACCCTGGCTGTAAAGCCTGTTTTACACGATCTTTTTTTAATCATTTTTCGCCGGTCCAGAAAATATACAGGCCAAACTGGATGTAATTTGTACGAAAAAATGACGCATGCTTAATTTTTCGGTACAAATTTCCTCCAGTTTGACTACCGCGCTCCTGGGCGCACTTTACGGGAGTTTCTCTAGTTTGTTATGCGTGTGGAGCGATATGATCATTTTGTTGTTGCCTGAGAGCGTTCTGATGTGTTGAATTGTAATGTGAAGAGAAATAAATTATGTACTGTATTCTAATATTGTCGCATCCGAGCTCAGTCCTAACCTAACCTAACTTAATTTGTTACCACAGATGCGATGTTCAAATGTTTGAACTTCATCGCTATATGCGGCGTCCGGAGGAAGTATTTTCTTCATGATCTCATGATCTTCGGCGCCGACCGTCGGCTCCTACCAGCTGGGACAAGCTGTAAGCTCCCGACCGGTTTCCCGATATGTGTAACAGAGTAGTGCATGTAGGTCTGAGTGTGTGTAAGGGGTGAGGATGTGACAAGGAATGGGAAGGCAAGATCGCGCGCGGTCCTTGGCCCATTTGGTAGGAAACTGTTCCGGTATTCGCCAAGTATTGATCGAAGTAACCACCAATAAGAGCAATCGGTCGCTACAGCGAAAAAAAAAGAAACGTTGGAGTATACCAGATCTATGATACTGTAATAAGTTTCCTTGTCTCTAGCCAGAGACAAAACTCGATCTAGCTCCGTCCTGATTTTTGGAATCTGGGTAGTGTCGAAATACCTGCCGTCGTCGGGATTCGAACCACACAACAGGCACTTCTCCCGGTAAATTCGTTGCGATATTTTCGTAATAAATTTACAATCCTCGTTCATTTATAATTGGTAGATCGGTTTTCGATGCAAGTAGTTTCTATTACACGAGAGCGAAAATGTCTGCTTATCAAATTGTGTCAACAACACTCGTTGCTATACTTTATTCGTAATTATACTTTGGCTGGTAACGGAGATGCGATGGAGTTCCGCATAAACCTGCGCGAATATTTCAATTTTTTTGTTATTGTGATTCCCAGACTCCGATTTATCAGTATATTTGCTGATTTTTAGACTCTGTCCTGACTGATCTGCTTTGTTTTCAAAAGTTTGAATTTATTAATATGTATCATCTACACTATTTACTGTTTAATTTAATTTTAATTTTTTTAATTAAAATAGTTGCAACAAAATTCTTCAGAGAAAACAATTTTTAGTCAAGTGGCGGCTCGTGCTTAGGTTGCACATTATATATATATATCTATATATATATATATATATATATATATATATAATATATATATATATATATATATATTATATATATATAGTGCCAGTAAGAGGAAAATGTATATTCTTAAGATATTTTGAGATATTTTTCGATTATATATGGGCATTGTGCAACTTAAGCACGCCACGCCACTGACTAAAAACTATTTTCTCTGAAGCAATTATATATATATATTTCGCCTGCCTAGTACGAATCTACCGTTTTCCTCCATGGCCGTAGGTTTCTCTGGTCTGAGTCAAAGGTTTATCAGACGTAACTCCCATTATCTTATATTAGCACACACGGTATATCTGTCTATCCGTTCTCGTCGAATCCGCGAAAAATAAATGTAAATAAAAGCACTCCGCATGTGATCGCATGCAATGGATCTTCAGTTGTCTTCCTGCATCACCGACTGACAATCACGTGATTGCGTGAATGAGACACACCTGATCTAACCTAGCGTTGGTAAGATACCGCGAGTTGCGAGTTAATGACGATGACGTCACAAGATGTGTCTATTAAATTATATTTTTTCACTGTTTCGGTCCTTATCTGTCGGTCTTATTATTTGTAGAAACGTTAATTGCGAATGCGATATGAAATCGCGCTTTAGGCCTTAAACTATATATCACTGTAATTTCACTGTATTTTATAATTCAGAGTTATTAACCAACACTTTTTAACTCTCGAAGTAATTATTAGCAGACTAAAATGTGTACACGAATTGGTCCCAGTGAACAGTCGAAACTACAAGCAATTTGCCCTATTGCATCAAGATTTGTCGTAGTAGTTTTTAGAAGACTGTCGGGCTGCAGGATTCTGTAGTATAGCACAGATCATCAACCCAAACAATTTTTTATTAAGAAAAAACAACAACAACAAAGAATAGTAGCTCGAGATTTTATTAGGAACAATCATAGAGGAAAGGCTTGTTCTTCCGTGGAGCTATCATATTAGTGTTTTATTAACAATTTAACATCTATGAAAACGAAAATAAATGTCTAATAAATAATAACTATAATATGAATATAAACCTGTAGTTCATAAGAAATCCCATAAAGTTTTTATGTAAATTTATATCATAATACACAAACATTTGAATTCAAAATTAGTTCAAGAATTTTAGTAAGATATTTTACTGTTCTACTATGGAAAAACATGCATAATACATTACATCACTTGAGAATTATAATATTTTAACTTTTGTTAAAACAAGTCAATAAATGCCATCTTCCACTCAGTGATGTGAAAAATAATCTCAGAATGCCTTAGAAGTTGAAAACTAAATTGTTAGCAAAGTTATGGGGATCTTAAGATTGGAATCACCACTTCAGTTTTGGGGATTTTTTTTTTTTGGAACTCTTTTGAGTTCTGTTAGCTATGGAAATCATGAAGGTGATCATATTAATTGTCAATTATTCCAGAGTTATTAGCCACTTCAGTAACAATGGATTAATACTGATTCCTAATAAATAATGAAACATGAACACATTATATTAATTTCTGAATAATTTCTTCTAGTTTTATTAACACATATTTTTGTAATGTTTTCCTCAGATGCTGTTTGCTTCATGAAACACACCATACAAATGGCAAAACTAGTAATTTTTGCTACATTATTCCTACTTTTCACTCCGTTCATCTCTGCAGCCAATATTCTTGCTATCTTCCCACTCCCATCACCAAGTCACCATTTTTGGAACAGTCCTCTAGTTGTTGCTCTCGCAAAGAAAGGTCACAATGTAACAGTTGTCAGTCAACTTCCTCAGCTACCTCTAGTGCCTAATGTCACTGATCTTGTTGTTGAGGGATTGTTGGCAAAAGATCACCACTTTGGTTACGAGGAAATGGTTGATGCTCATCCTTTAACGACTGTTGATGCATTCCTAGGATTGCTAGGGCAATCTTGTTTAAAAATACAGAAAAGTGATTCATGGGCTAAACTGTTGAGGTACCCAACGGACACGAAATTTGACCTGGTCATAATCGAGCCTATGGGGGCAGAATGCCTTTTGGGAATTCTTCCTAGATTTGGAGATCCACCAATAATTGCAGTAAATGCTTTCAATGTTCCTCTTTGGTTATTTGAAATGGTTGGTTCTCCTAATATGATTTCATTCATGCCTCATCACCATTTAGCTGCAACTGACCGTATGTCCTTTACAGAGAGGTTACGGAACTTCTATTACACAGCTTACACTTACTATTATTATCATTACGACTACTTGCCAAGATTGGACCAGGCAGCAAAAGAGTTCTATGGCCCTCATATTCCATCATTTTACAAAATTCGTGAAAATGTAAGATTAGGAATGGCAAACTTTCATCCAATATTAGACTACCCTTATGCTAAGACACCTAACTTAATTTCAGTGGCAGGAATACAGATTCAAGAACCAAAACCACTCTCTCAGGTAAGTGTTATTAAGTTGTTTTGTTTCCACAAGTTTCTTTTTCATCAAGTCTAATTTGCTTAAAATTTCTTGATCTTTATACTTTTTAAACATACACAAAAGGTAGTGCTAACCCCTCATTCATATCAATGAAAATTAAAATTTATTTAAAAAAATAAAAATATTCAGAACATGATTCCACCACTTAAATTTTGATTATTGCTGTATCTGATGGTTCTGATAAATTAATAAGTTGTTTTAACTAACAATATACATGAACATTCATTTTAACAAAACAAATTATTCAATTTCTGACCTTAGAAATCCACTTTCTTGAATCAATACTTGTATTTAATAATAAAACCTAATACATGTTTAAGTCAAAAAAAGGGGCTGATGTAACTTCATAACTTTATTACACATTTTAAAATATTTTTTTTCAAAGAATTGTATCTCCAACCAAGAACTGAATTTGGTTCCTGGTTTACATTGAGTTGCCATAGAGCAAGTGGTTTACATTGACTTGCTCTAATCACTGAGCTATTACGAAGGGCATTCCTTTGAATGGTTTCATAGGCCTAATGTATTGCCCATTCAATAATATTCAATAGTTACCACCATTGAATTGAACTGTGTTACACTAAGACTTAAAATACTACAAATATGTCTAAAATGTATTCTGAATGTTCAGGTTTTGAGGAAATAGTACAAATATTTTACATATTAATAGAATGAAATAAGAACGATTCCCAAAAGCAGTGCTACAGTACAAATTAATAGGGCAAAGGAATGTGAGAAATGGCTAGATCAGGACACCTGGAGGTGTAAACCTCCTGGTGTACTGTGAAACAGAAACAGGCCGTGTTAATGCTAGGATTAATATTTAAATACACTGTTAGTAGTTTTATGTGTACTAGACATGCTAGTGAAAGCAGAAGTTCTTACTTTGCTGGTCTGTTCCGTAGTTTAGATGTGCAAGTGTTATGTTACTTTGTGTGTGGTAAGGCTTAAGCACTTTTATATACTATAAATATTTCAGATTTTGTATACTAGTATTAACAAAATAAGGATTTGTTGAATAAGTCAAATTTAATAGTACATATTTTTAATAAGCTTTACTCTATTCACATTTTATTTAATTAGTTGGGTTTTTTTCATCAATCATCTGCTGAATCCTGTGAAACAAGGCTGTGTTCATATTAAATACTTAGGTTGGATACTTGACATCAAAAACATGGTAAATTTTAGCTAGATAAGAATTCAATCCACAAATATTTCCAAATCCCAAGTGCAAACTTCAACAAATTGATAATGGGTTATGGACCAACAATAAAGATATTCAGTTCAAAAATATGAATTTCATCTTGTCTACATAAATTAATGAAAAAGGCTTCAACAGCATCTCATTTTCAAGAATTGTCACAACACGAGCAGAAAAAGCAAACTTTTCTTGCATGCACCTATTACTCAGTTTCGATGCAAACCAAAAGGAAGTCCGATGTCTTCAGGATTTATAATCTGCCGTGTGCAGTGTCATTCAGCAAGTTGCTGCAACTTCTACTTAGCTATTACTGCAAGTAATAGTAATGACAATAACAACAATAATAATAAACACACATATATGCTAAATTGTTATCCTAAAATAAACTCCAGATTCCATTAATACAATCCTCTAGTCAGGGCTGAAATATTATGAGGCTTTCAATATTACTTAACTATGAGAGCCCCCAAATACTCTTTACTCTTACTCTAGATAGAACCCCCTCTTTTGGGGCTCCCAAATAACATTGTTATATTTAACATACACATTGAATATGAATATGCAAATAACTCTGCAACTTAAATAATTAATATTAAAATATTTTCAGTAGTTGTAAGCTAATATGAAACTTTGTAGAACAAATTATGGGGACTCTGAATTATCTGTTCAGTTTGTTAATTCACTCCTATTTCCAGTTAATGGCATATTAAATTATTAACTACCTCACAAGAGATAAAAATGATCTTGGCTTTTATATGATAGTGTTCCAACAAAAAGAATGATTGTTTCAGGATTTAAAAAAGTTTCTAGATGAAGCAAAAGAAGGGGCTATATTAGTCAGTTTTGGTTCAAATATCGCATTTCAACATTTTGCACAAGAGAAGATAAAACTGTTCGCAGAAGTATTTGCTTCAATACCTCAACGTGTTCTGTGGAAATTTGAAGCTGATAAACTACCAGTACAACCAAAAAATATCAGAATTGGTAAATGGTTGCCCCAAAATGATATTCTTGGTAAGTAAAAACATTCGTGTTCATTAACTAAAGCATTCTCAAATTAAATGAAATAAGATACATAAAAAGAAATTATGTATCTTAAAAATGATGTGGTAATTTTTTTATTCTGAGCCTTTAAAATTTTACAAATCAACTTTTTAATTAATTAAATACAATAACCTACAATACACTCTTTAAAATTTGTAGACAATAAGAGAAAATTTCAAATCTGTCACTTTGTATGTTTCAATAGGGGTTATTCATAAATTATCATTCAAATTCATACTTTCATTTATTAAGAACATTTCTAATGAACATTTACTACACTTGAAGCTGGGCTGTAGTCATTGACTTATTGGCAAAATCTTTATTTCCACTTTCTAAAATACATTACTTGAGGATGCTATGAAGTGATGAAGCGTATTGAAAATTAAAGTTTATACATTGAAGAACTGCTAAAAGTAACTCAAAATATCAGGACAACTGTGTCGGAATCTGTGTGATTGCTGTCTTACATTATCTCTTTATTACTTGTACTATATATATTTCCAAAAGTTTACAGAAAATTGGTTAAGATACATAGAAAGTGTGAGTCATAACTGTGTGATTTGCTGGTGCCAATCCAGATGATATTTAAGAGATGTAAGTTTTCTGTACATGCCAAATTAGAATTAAATAATGAAAAATCAACTTTATGTTCATCCAACTAATGTAATTTAAAGGGTGCTCATCATTTTGTATAACATTTACTGAACATTAATTACTTCCATATTAATAATTTAATTAAACTTAAGATCCGCTTAAGATCTTCCTAAACCTGTAGTATAATCTCTAGGCCAAAGACCCCATCTTGATCAATTTTTTTTGTCCAGTTTCCCTGGTCCTTAGAGCAAATGCTGATAAGGCCCCTTGTTCTGCTTCTGGACAATAAAAATAAATGTAACTTCACTCGCTGCTCCCAAGAAGATGTATGCAATTGTAATTGTATATGTGACTCAATAAATATTGTTATTGTTATTATTCCACTAAAGATCGACCTGTGATATGGCAGAGCTTTTCATGTGCAAGTTTCTGGAGCAATGGCAAAGTATGTACCTTTCTTTTTAGCTCATCGAAACGTTAAATTATTCATTACACATGCGGGTCTGCTGAGTACACATGAAGCAATCTACCATGGTGTTCCTGTAATTGGTATACCCATTTTTGCTGAACAACCAATGAATATCCAGAAAGTAATTAATCATGGTGCAGGAATCAGTTTGAACTACAACTATCTGACAAAGGAGTCCTTCATAGAAGGAATTAAAACAGTATTAGAAAATTCCAGGTATGATCATCTCTTAATGGAAATATTCTTTTACTACCGACTAGTGAATAGTTCATCAATTTGTCAACAAGTTGAGAGCTAAAAGAAAAAGTTTGAAATTCAATAACAAATGCAGGCAATTAGTTGAATTAATAGTTAAATTATGTTGTTGCATATATGTATATATTTTGTCGGTCTTAATTTCCATAATTTTAAGTAAAAATATGAAACACACTGACTGAAATTAAATACCAATATTGTCACAAATATGAATTTTTAAAAAATTACATAAATGTAAGGTTTTTTAAATTACATAAAAATAATTGTCTTGCTAAGTTTGTTTTTTGACAACAATAGTTTCATTACAAGTCTCAAGAAACAATCATCTTCTATTGATGTTCCATGTGCAAAACTTTGTTAAAGAATAACCAAACTAATAAATATAGCTTACAAATATAATATATAAAAATAACTAACCGAATAAATTAATAAAATTTCTGTTTACAGTTTTAGAGACAACATGAGAGTCCTTTCACAAGTATTCAAAGATGACCCGCAGACACCTCTTGAAAGAGCTGTGTTCTGGACTGAATACGTACTACGACATAAGGGAGCTCTGCATTTGCAATCTGCTGCCAAAGATCTTAACATATTTCAGTACTTTCTTCTCGATATCATTTCCTTCCTTGTAGCTGTACCTTTAATATTATTTGTTGTGATATACTGTGTTTGCTGCAGAAGACAGTCAAAAGAAAGGAAAGATAAACAACATTAACTTTGTTTCAAAAGAATACAGAGATTAGAATAGAAAATAAAATTCTTCTCCAAATGAATACTCTAGTCTTAGCTGTCTAGAAAGATACATCAGATGTATTTTTAAAAAAAAGTCTAATCTATTACAAATCCTTATTCAATTTGCTTTTGTTATTTCAAGTATTCAATGATAAGAGGAGTCAATCCCCCTGATTGAAATAAAAGTTATGCAAATTAATTTTTTTCAATATAAGACATGCCCTAAAATGAAAGGTTTAATAGAGAAAGAGAAAAAAAATCTTGGGCTTTCCATGAAATTGAAGATGTAGGATATTATGCATGTTATGAGCAGATCACAAAAATATTTAAGAGTACTATATCAAAGCTTTTCTGCATTTGCATACACTGAAACTCTTGATAATAAAATCAAAATTAACTTTCTCTGCATAATTTTATTGAATAAAACTTTACCAGATTTTACAAAATCCACAAGGATTGCAATTTTGTTTTGTTTTTTACATGATTTTTATTATTTAAAAATTATCATTTTATTTTGTGAAAATATTTTTGTTCTTTTTATAACTCACACAATAAATCTTATATTTTAGGAAGTCAAAATACATATTCATTATTTATTGTTGGACCTATTTGGTGAGTCAACACTTCGTACAGACCTAAATAGTCCATTGCACTGCTGTGAAAAAGTCTGTATGTATAATTATAAAAAAAACACAACATTTAACATGAAAATGATAAAAAAACTTGTGAAAATTATGATGAAAACTACAATGTAAATTGTAAGGTATTTGTATTTGTAAGGTAATGTTTATAATAAAATACACACTTTTAACCATAAACATAAATAAATAAATATTTGCATGAAAAAATGTCCAATTTTGCTTGTAGCAATATATTAGTGATTATCTCCCACACACACATTACGACAAAACTGGAAAATGTTCTTATAACCACTGAACTAATGCTGTAACTTCTGAAAAATTATGAGAAAAGCCTGATCCATGGACAAATTAAAATGTACAAAAATTGACAGAGGAACCAAATTCTTCAAACTTCAATCTTGCCATTTGGGGATATTTGAGATTTCTGGAAGTTCTTTTGGGCCCTCTTTTGTGAAATGATAGATGTCTTCAGCAAAATGCTTTATTCGTTGAATGCTACTATTGTTTAAAAATGAAAAGTTTGAAAATTTTGAAGTATTTGAAAACAGCCAAATGATAATAGCATTTGCAATACCGCTATAATGTTTTTAGAAAACATCAGAAAGCTATTTTATGAGAAGTAGTGTACAGAAACTTCAAAGGAGCTTCTTTAAATTGCATCTTCAAAATAATAAAATGTAACTTCTATTTAATTAATTAGCCATGTGATTCTATTTTGTAAATAAAATCTATGTTGTTCTTTCCACTTGTTGTTAAAAAAAGATGTATCCTCTTTCAATATATTCAATTCTTTATCAGCTCTCTAATTAGCTAAACACTAGAGCTAATTGTTTCAGTTCACTTCATTTATTTTTACCGTATCTATCAAATTATACAACTGATCTTTCAACAATATTATGAGTATACTTTTAAGAAAACAATCTGCCAGAAAGCTATTAAAGCGTCTTTTTGATTATCCAATAAGACAGTGAAAACTTAATCTTAATAAGCACAATAGACCTTCGTTTTGCAATTTGGTCATTTTCTCTGTATTAATGTGCAGTTTTTAAGGAAATATGATAATTATTTAGGAAATTTTCATATTTAAATGTTAATGTAAATTATATACCAAGAAATGAAAATAAATCAAAAAATCAACTTCCTTTGTAGTTGTGACAAGATTTTGATTTTAATTCGAAACCAATCACTATTTTGTGTTGAATACTGAAATCTATCACTCAATCAGAAATTGTCATGGCACAATGTAGGGGCAATTATTATGACTGTGTTCAACAGTAGTGTTGTTCTAGAATTCAGAACATCCATTGACACCGTGACGATGAGTATGTTTACAGCAGATTACATTAACAATCGGGATCATTGTTGACATGAACTGATCTCGTATGGGCCACACACCTCCTCTCTTCATTAAGGCATTTCGAATTTCACGACAAAATGATATCAAACCAATTGGAATTACACGTCTGGGAGAAAGACACATATTATGAAATACGAAATAATATTTCAGACGAAGTTATATGTACTTGCAATGAAAAACATAATCTTTAGCGTCAACAATCATTTTCTACAATGATGGCAAAAGGATATCATCTATTCTGGAAAGGTGCCGTAACTACAAAACGTGAAGTGAATTGTGTTCCCAATAACCTCCCATTCAATACGCAACAAAAACATGCACTATGGGTGCGCTGTCAATGGTGCTACGATGTAAACAGAGGAAAACAACTTACTAATTATTTGCAGAATTATGGTATTGAAAAATCAGCCCGTCATTGTTTGTACCATTATTCAAAAGATAACACTTCATATTCAAACGATAACACTTTCCAGAATTAATATTCATACATTCGTTTAACACTTCACTACTACATAACCAAACCGATGTTACATGAGTTACATTAACACTTCTACCAAAGCGAAACGACAATTAGTATAACCCGAGAGAAATAAAACTCAAACCAATAACCACGACAACGACGGTAATGTCTCCTATCCAATTGCAGCGTTTCAGTCATATGAAAACTAATACTTGCTCAGTGATGTTACCCGGTGTATAACCATTTCTGACGCTATTGTGAAAGAGTACGGAGTACGGTAGTTTGATGGTTCATTATACTGACGATTCAGATATGAGTAATAATGTTCACAAAATTTTGACTTCCTAGATGTGATACACGTATTCATCTTTGCGAAAAAATTAATGTGCGAAATGTGATAATTTATTTGTGAAAGTGATAATATGGAGATTTATGAAATTCAGAAATATTAAATTTATCTGTAGACAGATTTGTATAAAACCTAATGTAAAACACCGGCTACTCGTCGCCTCCTTAGCTCAGTGGCAGAGCACTGGTCTTGTAAACCAGGGGTCGGGAGTTCGATCCTCCCAGGGGGCTTGTGTCTATCTCACGTGATTTTTAAATCCGTGGACATAGAATCTTTAAACATCTGTTTATTATTATTATAAAAAGCTCATATCCCCACACAATTTTAAACTATTATTACAACTATTTTTCAAGCGCTTAAGTACATTGTGCGAATCCCCTCCTCTATCGAGGTCCCATGGTGTAATGGTTAGCACTCTGGACTTTGAATCCAGCGATCCGAGTTCAAATCTCGGTGGGACCTTCGTTCGATTTTTGATTTGCGAAACCATTGTAAATGTGAAACAGAATACTTTAAAGTATAGGAAACATTAATATTGCGAGCGTCTATGTTGTTTTTGAACGACAGGAACAATATTTTCCTACTTTTTATATACAATGACACAACCATAATGGCGTCTCGAACGCCGAGGTGACGGGGAAAGAGTTCATTATCCGTCGTAGAATCTTTTGCAGACGCAACTACCCAAAATAAAAGATCAATACATGTAAAAAGATACCTTTACTGAAAATATCTACGTTGGAGCCGTTCTACCACATCCCCAGTGGCGCAATCGGTTAGCGCACGGTACTTATATGACAGTGGTCGTGAGCAATGCCGGGGTTGTGAGTTCGAGCCTCACCTGGGGAATATTTTTTTGCTGAGAACTGCGTTCTATTTTCAATCGTGTACTTCCTGGCGAAACTTTCTCTTACTGCGTTTCACTTTCTCCGCGTATACACGATCTATAAATAAAGCCCAGTTCCAACTACATGTTCTTCAGTTCTGGCGCCATTTTAACCTCGCGCAGTTGAAGATCGAATGATATATTTTGTTTCTACACTTAAAACTAAACACAATACGACTGGCATGTATTCCATTGAATGTTTTCGAATTATGGATCGTACAACCAGTCACATGATATACAGTAATGTGTATTATGTAATGAATATAATGTGTCATTTGGTATGATAAAAAAAAAATCCAAATGAAATTATTGTGCGATGTTTACTATTGAAAGAAATCTTTACTCTACGATTAAAATGTAAAATAACATTAAATCCAGAAGTGTCTTCACATTGATACATCATCACTCTTCTATTCAGGGTAACTACGCCACAGATTTGTTGAAGTCTGAAACAAATAATTTTGCTGTGTAGGCCTGATACATGTTTATGTTTTTCTATCAAAATCATCTGAAATAAATTCAACAAAGTTATAAAAAATTTTCAAGAAAGAATTAATATACTAAACTTGGTATGTTTTCAAAGAAAAAAGTTCAATATTTGTAAAAAGCTGTAATTTTTTATCTTCTTGAAAAATTGACAACAATACATTATTTAAAATTGCTGTCATTATACAAAAGTATTGACAATATCTTCTTTATTTTATTTTCTAGAAAACTTTTTCAATAAACTTTTATTTATTTAATGCAAAAAGACCATGAGTTGAACATATAGTGGGGGTAAATGCGAATGGACCTTTTATTTAATGGATTCAATCCTTGCTTTCATTATTGGTGAGGCTCTTTGAGAGAGAGGACCAAGGGTCTCAAACACAGTGGTCATCCACAAATTACATAACTCGAAAGAGGGGGAGGGGTTTTGGGGCAGCATAGCACTGTGTTACAGAGGGGGATTTAGTTTAATGTTACATTATCCTCATATTGTTGTTGTTGTTGTCTTTTTTTTTTTTTTTTTAAACGTTTTCAGATATAATTTCTTATATTCAATCTAACTAAAATACTAAAACATCGAATTTACATTAAAAAATGTATATAAATTAAAAAGTTATGATGTATAAATGATGACAACAATTTAAAATATTTTTCATCAATGGTATATTTGTGGCATGATATATATTTCATAATAATATCAATATTGAATCTTAGATTATGAGGTAAATATTTAAAAGTGATCTTTAGACTACTCTAGAATTCAATTAAATTGACTTAGTAGGTTCTTTCCCATGCATCCTCCGTAACATCATCACTTGACAGTAGTTTTCTCGCCTATGCTCATTTCCTTTCTTCCTTCCTTCACTTCAATAGGGTCCCCCTTTCTTATTGCTAATTCCATTCAGCATCACTATTTATTTATGACATTAATTGACATTAACAGGAAAGGGATATTCCTGTAAACACATATTTTTATAGGAAGAAGACTCCTGCATTCAATGATATTTCTAGAGCTTACAAGATATCCTGAATGTGTTATGACTATTTTTATTTTACATGTTTTGGTATAATCATATATTTTTACATGTTTCACATACTACCACATATTTCTTACACATGCCTCTATATTTTAATACACTTACATGTTGAAACAAGAATTTCATACGTGAGTTTGCAATACACTTTACACGATTAATTAAATGAATACTTTTTCTTACAAAGCAATGTAATTATTTTGCACTTTAATAGTCACCGAACAATCGCTATATATTGTCAAATTTAGTCCCTGCCCTCTTCTTGGAAACTGCAAATTCTGTCTCAAGGATGAGTGAATGTTTGTGAGGCAGAAGTAATTACAATCAAGATCATATTTATATTTTGTAGAACTTGTGACACCATGTATAACTTGTTTGAAAACTAGGAAATATTTTTTTAATCATCATCTAATCACCTTGTTGGATTGAGGGCGAGAGGGGGATAAGTATATTCTCTTAAATTCCCCTCCTGGATACATCACTGGCTACATGGTAGTAATATTCATTTGAACACCAGATCCAAGCAAACAACGCTGTTCATTGTATGAATGTATTTTATACATCAAATAAAACTCTTATGCGGTTAAGATTAGTGTACAAATACTTCTCTAGAAATAGAACATTCTTTCAGTAACTCTAAATCCATGGTAAGACTTGATCGACAATATTTTGTATCCAAAAATGCTTGTATAAAGCAATTTTAAACACTACAATGAATTTTCTTTAAAATTTTTTCTTACATATTTCGGAAAAAGAAATGCAAATGTATGTACATATTTAGCTTCATTTTGTACTATTAATTCGATTCCCTAATCATTAACTTAAATATATAACACAATAGAATTCATACAAATTTGTTTTTACTGGTATATAATTTATTTTTAATTATTGTAACGGGAAGAGGGGTTGTCACAAGCATCGTGTTATTATACAGGGAGTTCAAAAGCACATTACAGGGGAAAAGGGTGTATTCACAGTGTTCAAAATTTGCATTACATAATTTATGGTTGACTCCACAAACTGTGGTATGTGAACCTCCCTGAAGGTTCATTTACCACTGTTACCTAATATTAGGGGTAAGCTTCTTGGGGATTCATGAACAACATGGATCAGACATTAGAAATCTGTGTCAAGTCTCTCACATCTCACTGATGATTCACATTCTCGTAACTCCTGTTAAAACTATCCATATTTAAGTACTATAAATATAAATAATTATAATTATAAAATCTAAAAATATGTAGCATTCAATTTGCTCAGTCAAATGCCCTGTTGTTTCCTAAGGGGTCGTCCATAAATTTCTTCATGCCAATTTGGAGCATTTTCAATACCCCCTCTCCTTTTTGTAACACACCCATAATACACTCTTTAACTCCTCTAAATAATTATGTAGTAACACTTGTAACATAATCCCCCCTCCCCTTGTAAATGCAAGAAGTACAAAAAGATTATAGCACAGTAAACACAATTTGTATTTATTTTACTTGTGTTGTGTATTAAAGTAAATAATGATAATTTAAGTATAAATTAGCTG